AAAAAAAGCGAGTAAAATTCAAAACTAGCCCCCGTAAAGGAAACGAGAAAAGGCCTAGAATTGTGAGGAATGCAAATCGAGCTAAAAAGGCTCATTTAATGGGGTGTCAGTTTAGATGCTTTTCCCGAAAAACCGTATGAAAACTCGATCAATGTAATAAATTATTGCGTCTGTTTTGGCAAGCCTTCAACAGTTCGTATCGATTCGCCCCTAAGGAGTGGCTGGATCCTCAAAGTTTATTTGGTTTTCTCGATGGATGTTTTTCACTGAAAAAAACCTAAAGAAGCAAAAACTAGAACTTCTGAGATATATTGCCAGTGCTAGTCACATCCAGGTCGTTATAAAGGGACAATATCCGGAATTTTCGGAGCAAATTTGTATCGAGATCCGGCGCGAGAGCTATTTAAACCCCAAAGTTTTAATGTGGTGGGCCGAGCGGGGGATAAACAATTTTTTTGCCATTGCCATCAAAGTGTCGCGTTCTGCACAATTTTTCTCCCATTTAATTGCCAATATAAAAGCAGATGCAGTGGCAGTTAATTAAAATTTAATTTATCCTAGAAGAAACAACGAGCGCTCGCCGGGCTCAAATGGCAAATGACTGAAAATATATAGAGTGGTTATTAAAACCCGACTCTTTCCACATGGAAAATTGCCCTTTGCATATTTAATGCGTCATCATGTTGCTGGGGTGGGAATCACCAAGTAAACACTATCAAGGCTTTCAGGTTTTTTCTATGGCGTCACTTCAACTTCAATCAGCACGAGTTCTCCAACAGAATGAATGAGAGAGTCGCTCTCGAATCAAAACCCAATAACCACAAACGTTTCCAAGACGGTTTCTTCCATTAGAACGACCATATAAATGGCTATCGTGCCATTATGATTCGGAAAAGAAAACAAGCTCCACTGGCCCAGACAAAGATGAAACTTTTATTTATTCTTTGGAGCGATAATCGGTGGAGAGCGCATTTGTGCTGGCGCCGTAAATGGGCCCATCGATTCGACATTTTTCAAATAATGTTCGGTTTTCCCCCACAAAAAAATCCAGGAAGAAACGGAATTATTCCAGATGGCCGGCCCTCTAAATTGACTTAATCGCGCCTCATAAATTCTTAGCTCCAAACCAACCCACTCGACTAAATAAATTCACCTGGAATCGTTGCGTCTTTGACGGAAAAAGCACAGCTTTTTCCATTTGCTGTAAAAATTGCTTTATGCATAATGGAGGCCGCTCCACGTCCATTAGTGGCCACGCAATGAAATAATCCACACACTTTGTTGCCGTGTCAAAGCCTATGAGTTCGATATCCATTTATCCGGGTTTTTTTCCATTGTTCCAGATGTGAAACGCCATGCATCCAGACCTTTGCAACCAACCAACCAATTTTCCGTCATCCGCATTAGCCGACTCGTCGGTTTGCAGAAGCAGGAACCAGTTCCAGTTGTTATCAGTCTGATGTGGGCAAAAATGATTCCTTGAGGAATCGCATACCATGGTGACCAAGCCTACCATTCTGGTGCCTCCATCGTTGTCCAACAGTAGTTGCCATCATCCGCGTTACCAGAACGTCTCGATTTGGTCGACAATTTCCACAGGAGATGTTGTGCAAACCGCTGTGGTTTTGGCCCTCACCTTTGCCATTCTTTTCGCGAATATTCTGCTGATCTCGGTGATCAACAGCAGACGGTATGCCAAGTATATTCATTCGCAGGTGGGTGCAAAATCGGGTTTCTTATCCCACTTTGGTAGTGGATTTCTGGGTGACAACTTGCCCAATCGTGGAATAGAGCTGCTGGATTTGTAACGGTTATTTGAGAGGGCAGAGGAGCTGGGTTTTTTTCAACGGAAAATGAAAAATCTGGAAAAATTAATGCTACAGAAGACCCTGAGAGCCCTAACCATATACTGCATTAGCAATTTAAGAATTTTTTGGGGCAGGTTTGTCTGTGCGATGGTCTGATTGTTCGCAAAATTCAAGGAATTGGGGAAATTTAATGAAACTTTCTGGTTATTTCCCCCTGGACGTTTTCGTCACAAGGGTGAAATTAGAGTGTTTTGTCTGGCTCAGGGTGGAAGTTAGAAATTTTGAAAGATTAGAATGCACAATTTTGAGAAACCTCTTTTTATGGTAAAGTTCAAAACATTCCCAAATAGCAACAGTTTGGGCGAATCGACTTAACTTTTGTGCGTGTTGAGTTCACGGTCTTCGGTATAGACATTGAAAGTTTCAGACTTTCAGCAGCTCAGGATTCGGAGTCACGTATTCAGTCACAAACCGGCATTGGACATTGCTGAAAAACTGAAACTTGAACTTGATAATTGAAAAAAAAAATGGAAAACTTTCACGTTTACCGGAAGAAACTTAAAAGTTTCGATTTTTTAAAATTAAGTTTGCATAATTGTGAATAACCGATTTTCAACGAAAAGTTCCGAAATTTGGCACTTCTTAATGGGTTTTGAAAATTGATTGCAACTTTCTACGTATTAAACCTGGATCTTTTGCTATACTTGGTGAAAATTTCCGTGTGTGAGCTTTAGCGGTTTCAGAGTTATGAATTTTTAGAGGCCGGTGTGCAAAATATTGAAAAACCACTTTTCACTATAATTGAAAACATCCTCAAACATCAAAAGCTTGGGCTAATTGACTGAAATTTTGCTCATCCCGACCACAAAGCTTTCGCTATAGATGCAAGAAATTTTGAATTTTTAGATACAGGTCTGCTCAACTCTGAAAAGCTCACTTTTAAGGCAAAATTTGGATATTCTTCAAGACTCAATGCTTTCCAAACGGGACCTGGGAATTGATTGAAACTTTCGCTAAATTGAACCTGATTGTCGTTTGCTCGACATAGAGAACGTTCCATTTTTTTATCAACAAAATGTGAATAGTGGGGAGGTTTTAAAAACAGGTTTGCATAATTTGGAAAACCGATTTTCAAAGGAAAGTTTCAAAATTTGGCACACTTTCAACAGAGGCAAGAAATTTTGGACTTTTCGCTGCTCGGGAGTAGGCGTTTTGAATTTTTAGAGGCAGGTCTGCTCAACTTGGAAAATCTAATTTTTAAGGCAAAATGTGGATATTCCTCAAGACCCAATGGCTCTTAAACTGACACTGGAAATTAACTCAAACTTTCACCACATTGAACGCCGGCCTTTTTCACTAAATCCGCAAAGTTGCAGGTTTCTACCGGTAGAAAGTTAAAAGTTAAAAATTTTGAAAAACACGCAATTTTAATTTAGGAAAATCATATTTAAGTGGGTTGGAAAACATTTGCAAATATCAGTGGCTTCAGGGAGTTGAGTGACGCTTTGTGCACAGGGCGCATTTGGTATTTTTTCTGAAAAATATTAGCAAATCCGTTGAATATTAACCAACTTCCTCCTTCACTTTCAAAACCTTCGTACTATGAATCCAAATTGAAACTTTCGTCCTGATGTTTATCAGGTTTGTCTTAGAAGTTTCGTGTTCTTTTCTTGCAGATTAGAAATATTTTTGCAAAATTCAATTGCATTTGACAGTTGAAATTTCCTATAAACTCTGGAAGTATCACCTGTTTCCTTTGTTCATAGCAAGAATCACAAATTTGCACAAACTGGCTGCTTTTTAAGGTAAAGTGTAATAATTTCGCACCGCAAAATTACTCATATAGACCTCAAGTCTTTTATTATAATTTTGCAAAATCTCACTGGTTTCACGTGTTAGAGAAAGGTGTGCAAAATATTGAAAACCCATTTTTTATAGTTAAGTCTAAACATTTCCCCAACCTCGGCAAATAAGGCTAATTGACTAGAGCTGCACATCTTGACCTCTATGTCTTCGCCATAAATACTAAAAGTTTTGGACTTTCCGCTGATCGCGGTTGGGAGTTATGCATTTTACGGGGCAGGTGTGCTCCACTTGCAAAATGTAACTTTTAAGGCAAAATTTCGACATTTTTCAAAGCCCAATTCTTTTCCAGTAGGCTGTGGAAATTCACTGAACTTTATCTCTGTTGAAATCAAGCCTTTGGCTATACATGGTAACAATTTCACTTTTTTACCGGCTGAAATTTAAGAGCTGCGAATTTTTAACAACGCTCATACGGCTTTTAGGAGTTGAGTGAAACCTTGTGCAGACTGAACACTTGGTCTTTTTTCTGAGAAATTTTGAGAAAACTTCCATCTCCACTTTCAATGTATTTTTACTACAAATTGAAATTGAAACATTCCTCCTTATATTTAAGAAGTTGGTTTTGGAAGATTTCGTCCCTTTTTTGACTCGAATTGGTTGTCCGGATTCTAAGCTTTTTTGACGTTTTTTGCTACAATTCATCATTTTGTCACTGTTGAAGTCAGATTAAAAATGTAATTGAGGAAATATGAAAAGCGAATCAACAAAGGCATAAGCCGGAAGGAAAAACCCCAACGGCGGATGCACGGAATTAAACAATAAAGGCGAAGAACAGTTTGGGAAAATCTGGTTAAGGAAGCAAAACAATCGCTTTTCTCAAAGATATTTTTGAGGCCAGATAACTTTCGCTCAGTGCAACACTTTCAGGAGCGGCTATGTGTTTTCAAAATATCACCTATTATAGAAGCGAGTGCTTCAGAAATCAGTGTGGGCCTCAAGTAGCCATTCCCTGCAGCTTTAGTCTCATGTTCCACATCAATTTCTTCAAAAAAAAGCCCTGAGGCGAGTGCAAAAATCTTGTGGTCAATTAAGCGTCAATGTATATAAAAGTTTAATATTTCGCTTTGATTCAGATGAATCGATTTTCCCCAAGGAAATGAGATATTTAAGGCTGGCTTTTTAGAGGCCAGAGACTCAATGAAAAACCTTAGGACTCCGTTCGTTTTTTCGCCTATTAAATACCCTGATGTTTCCCGGGCAAACATCTAAGAACCAATGTCTTCAGCAGAAGTCCAATATGCAGCCTTTAACCCGTTGGCAATGCGACTATTGTGTCAACTGCAAACAGCTCGTTTGCTTGATTGCCCCCCAAAGTCCGGCCGGGCCAGAAAAAGCCCCATCCAGATATCCAGGCCGTATTATGAGTCCTGAATGCTGATAATGCCCAATAGTGTGGAGTATTGTTCAAAGCGCCCATTAATACCAAACTGGGGAATATATACGAGGTAGATCCGGCTTTAGGCAGTCGAAACCCTAATAGAAACGTACTGAGCGCTGAGCAATATATATGGACAGGTAAACAGTGCTCGATTTGTTTATCTGCTTATTGCCTGATTTAATGATTGATGAGATTGAGGAATTCAGAGTTGATCCATCCAGCTGGATTGCCGCGCATCTACGCGGCCTCTTAAAGTTTAAATTGGGGAATTGCTTGCTGGGGGAAATTAACAATTTATTATCAAGCACAACTTTGATGAGCATTAATCTGTTTTGCTCGCAGCGCGCGAAAAGTTGAGCAACTTGGAAATTGCGTTAACTATTCCCAACTCATTACGAAGGTGGTTCAGTGCGGTTCAACTCAAAAACGTTTGTTTTTCCAGCCTCGCTACCTGCTCACTTCGCTCGCCTGCAACGACTTGGCAATGGGACTGTGTGTGACTCCGTTTGCCATTCTGTCTTCCATCAGGAACTGCTGGCCCTATGCAGAAATCGTCTGCCAAGTCCAGGTGAGTTTCACCCCCAAAAAATCCATTTGTATTCCGCGCTTTGGATGAACAGCGACATTCAAATGTGCACCTGTTCAGGTCGGCACTCATTAAGTTGTGGAAATTGTAAAAGCCCGATCGAACTGCCAACTTGGGAGCATGTAATGGCTTGCGCTAGACTAGGGAATGTTTAATGGCATTAGCGGTTGTGCATTTCAGAGTGCTTGTTCGCCTACGCGAAGACGAAACAAGCTTTAATTGGTTGGAGGGCACGCGGTTTTGCCTTTTTAATTCAACAGTTTCAAACTGGGCATCCACACGACTGCGCCCAAAATTCATCTGCTCCTAATAGAGCGGCCACTTAATTTGAAATTGGCCTCGTAAAATTAACTGGCACAAAATCGCTCTAAACCGTTCAAACAGTTTGGGTTTTTGCAGCTATTTTCGTAAATAAATCGCTCGCTCGACCAGCGTCGGTTCAAGGGACTTTAACTTGTGATTGGTCTGTTATGGGGTCCAAATTCGCCCAACAGCTCGTTTGATGGTGCCTTTCATTAAACTTGTCCCAATTTTGCCGCCTCTAAAAAAATCAGCTCTTGGCTTGTTGCCGGTTTGCCCTTTTACCAAGGCAAATTGCGCTTAAACTCTTCGGGTGGTTTCCGTTCACTTCCCCTAATGGAAAGTGGAATTTTCCGAATATTCTGCGGAACATAAAGCCACTGGAATCGCACTCAAACGCATCATCTTTGTGCTTTCAAGTTGTTTTCTGTTTGGCATTGGCAAACGCGGCCGTCGCCGATACTTTCGCATTAAAAATTCATGAAATCGAATACGAGTTTTCCATTAGCCAATGATTCCATCCGTTTGTTTAGCGCAACCCATGGACAAATAATATTAAGGTGAAAACCTTCGCAATTATTATTTGCACCCTGATTTGATCAAACGGGATAAATGAAAATGCGTCTCGGCTTGTTTGCGGGGTTGTAACCGAATCAAACATTTGCCTTCGTAATCTGTTTAGTGGCAAAGTTTCCATTTAAATTAGGAGCAGAGAAAACTGCACTCGAACTTGCGAAAATTGAAACTCGCGAGTTAAATAATTGATGTAAAAGGAAACAGCCAAGATCCAATTAAATCCAATGTAGAGAGTTCACTTTGTTCACTGCACGGCTGCGTAATTAATATTGCATGCGGTGGGCAAAATCAGATTTCTTTGTTTGCGGAACTATTTGTTTGGGTTCGGGAAAAAGACACTGGAATTTGCAGGAGAAGGTCTTTTGCGGAACTTTTGCAGGACTGGTGCGAACCCCGGTTCTATTAACTGGCTGGATGTTGAGATACAGTTTTTTTGAAAATGGAAATATCTGCGGAATTGTTTGCTCAGGATGAAAGCAAACAAGTTTTCAAAAATTGTAGGAAAAATGCACTGGAGTGAAACTGTGCAAGCATGTGGGGAATCTTTTCCTCTTTACCGTTTAGTAGCAAACACTTCCCTGGCTATTTTGGGCTTTCACAAGTGAATGTTTAAATATACTCGTCTAGTTCTTGCCAAAAGCCCTCAATTCAAGAAGTTTTTCGGGAAACATTTGAGCTACAGAGTTTCGCTTGCAATAATTGGACACGGTGTGTCATACAATGGTAAATTGTGAAAATATTGTAATAATTGGTCAACATCTATTGAATTTCGTTGAATTGCAAAACAATCGGGAGTCCAATTGCTTGCAGAAGAAGAATTTGAGCCTCTACAGGCCAAAAACTCTCTTGGTTCTTATCTGAGCCCAAAGTGCTCCATGCGCGAAAAAACCTTCCTGTAGTTATGCAGCTGTGCACCTGAAGTGCCCCATCTTCCATTTCCGCAGATAATCCGTGTGTGTGTGTTTCAAACAGTTTGTGTGCACAAATTAACATTTCTATGCACACAAGTAGGTAAGTTGATGTAATTTTGATCCCGAGGCTCCATGGTCCATATTGTGAAGTTTTCCCGTACACTGTAGGAGTTTCACTGCTTGTACGTTTCCTAATTCAAGTGCCTGAATGGCAGTTTTTAATTCATAAAAACGAGTTTTATATTTTCAGTTGTTTCACTGCGTGCGAGAAACGCGATATTTGCAACAAATTCGATTCGAAAACCGGAAAATATTTATTAAAATCTGGTTTTGGGGCGCGCAATAATTCAACAGTTTTACTTGTAGCCGGCACAGAATAATTGGTTTCATGTTTTCCATACTGATGCCCATTTTTCTCGCTGAATAAATTTGATATTTTGCAATATTTGCCTGCATTCAAGCCAGTCAGCGGAGCAAATAATAGCCGCCTTAAAACAAGACCTAATAAAGTTAATTTATTCTGCTCATGGGGGCAGGAGGCCCCATTGGGTAATAGTTAATTTTCATTAGCGACCTTTAAACGCACCACTCACGTAGCCTGAGCAAAGACATGGAGAATGGAAGAGGCATTTATAATTAAGTCCCCTGTTCCTACCCTGTACAGTCGACGTTTCCAACTGCTCCAGTCCTGCTCATGTAAGTAAAATTAATAGGAAAGCTTTTTACGAACTAATATTGGATTTTCTGTCTCTTAAGGCGGAAACGTGTCTCCATTAAGCCCACGCTGCCACAATAAACAAAGTTAAAGTCGAAAAATTGCGTCGAGTGCCTGATTTATATCGCACAAAGAAACCAGCGCCTTTCCATTAATCAATAAAGCGGATTGTTTAAAAAATCCCGTCTAATTTGCTAAACATTATTAATAGCCAAATAACAGTTGAAGAGATATGGATGGCATATTTCACATAAATCTTCGCCAATGTGTTTCATCAATGCCAGAAGTTCTGAATGGTAAATTGGATCCAGTCAGTCGATAGCCGGCATAATTTTCTTATTCACTCAACTTCCCGACTGGAATTGGAAATACCATTTTTGCTGCCCCGGATTTTTCGCCTTCAAACTTTCCTTTGCGTAATTACTAGCGCAAGAAAAAACTGGATACGGTTCGTGTCCACGCATAATGAAAGTCAAAGTTTTGCAGACTTTTAACACCTAATTCAAGGCAGATTCGGTATTTTCTACTGAACGTTGAAAAGTTTTACTCTACCACATCCTTGTTAGGGAAATGTGTGGGTCAAAACATTGCAAATTTTCCGTAGTTTTCAGTTCTACCGGCAGGAATGAGATATTTACGAAAGTAGACGCTGTCAAAATGGGAACGTTTTCGATTGTGCATTTCTGGATTCAAAAATTTGAAACTGCGAAACCCGAAGAGATTCGAACGTGCAACGTAATGAGATACGCATGGGCACCTTTCTAAGTGTATGTGAGACACCCTGTTGTACAACTGGTAGAAAGTCCCCAAAAATCAAAAGACACATTAAAGAAATGGCTTTTGTCAAAATTTGATTATTTCCAATTGTGCATTTCTGAAATTTGGCGGCATTCGCAGGGCAGATTAAGGACATACGGCATTTCAAACATTACCTTAGACAAATTTCATTATTCTCACGTGCGGATTAGTGCATTAAAAATGTCTAACTCCTCAACCAACCTCAACTTTCCCAAGATGTTAGGAAGACCCCAGAGTAGAACCCTTCCCAATGGCACTAAATTTTCCAGGTTCGTTAGAGGCAAAAAAAATGTTGGAGAAAATGTAATTAATCTCAATTCTGTACTTTTTCTATACCGTCTAATCCAGAAAAAGCCCCAAAACAGATACTGAACCACAAAAAAATAAAAATTCCTTAATCTACAAGCAAGGTGTTTAAATTAATTAATTGATCTCCAACTTGAAACCGCCCACCCAAAGGGAAACACCCGGTATAAAAGTTGGCGACCAACTGGGCAACTTTCTACCGAAAAAACTTGCTTTTTGCCCGAAAAATTCAGCATAAGGAATATTCAAATAATTATAAGTAAACGGCGTGTCATACCTTGGTAAATTGTGAAAAAATAAAAATGCCTGTTCAAGCCACTGAACTGCCCAGACTTGAGACTGTTTGGCTTTTTTCCACCTAGAAAATTAATGAGTCAAAATAGGATTCCTCATGCTCAATAAAGTAAATTTTAAGTAGAAGTAGAATATTGAAAATTTAATTGATAATTGCAAAATAGAGGATGATTGGAAAGGAAACAGCAACAGAACAGAAACAAGAACAGAACAGAAACAAGAAACAAGAACAGAAAACCGAATTAATGTGACACAGATGTGAAGAAATAAAATGCTGGCTGGATCGAATGAGCAACAGCAATGAAGACTAATCAAGGAAAATAAATAAACCCAACAGAAAATACAGCAAATTTTGGGGAAACCGAAAATTTAATCCTTTAGACTAGTTGGGTTGTTTGATTAGAAAAAAAATTCTTCCTAACTTTCTTCCGGTCTTTCCTAACTTCGGCTCCTCCTCTCTGTAAAACTCTGTCTGTGCAGTTTGTTGCCTGTTAAAAAAAATAAAAAAATAATTTTTAGTTTGAAGCAAAACCATGCACCAAGCCACGGAAACAACCCGATTTGTTGCAGCATTAGTTCCAGTTGTTTATTGGATGGTGAATGAAAGAAGCGAACGCATCCACGTTTGGATTGTATTTCAAGGGCCATTAAGTATCCGACTTTATACTCAATAGAAAAGTCGTAAAGCTGCATCGTCTGGGAAGCCATAAAATCCAAATCCAATACTTTCCGCGCGCGATAAATGTAGCGGCCCTGATGGCGAAATATTCAATTTATGGTTTGCGCCCCCTCAGGACGCTGATTAATGGTTGCGAAATGTCTCAGTCGACATTTATAAAGCCAACACAGCAAAGCGCCATGTTTCCGGCTAATTATCACTGTTTGTCGCCCATCCTGAGTCTTCAATTATTGTCTTTGGATCATTCGTTTTCATCTGTAAAATCGACCATTTTACCTGGCAAACATCCGTTTGCTCATTGACTAATTCGCTGAAAGCATTGTAAATTCAATCAGTCCATTTGGAATTAGTTCAAATGGATCAAATTAATTTCCATGTGGAAATTTGATTTTAAAACTAATTCCACAGAAACATTATTATTGTAACATTTAAATGCTTTTTTACCTCCATCGCAATACAACCGGTTAAACAGTCGATTGTTTCAATTATGCAGTTAATTGCGCATTATTGCCGAATTTAACTAATGAGTTTTGGAAAATATGCACTAAACACAGGACATTTCCTTCATAAATAGTTAAACTCCTTGTTTCAGCTCAATTATGCACAAATGTTAAAGTTGGACCAAAAGACTTAAAATGCGGTGGTGAATGAGAGGAGGCTCAACCCAATTATAAAGGCAAATGTCAAGCTCAAAAAGTTTAGAGCTTTGGGCATGATTTTAAACACGAAACTTTCAGCTTTATGTGCCGATGCTTTCACTATGTAGTGCAGCTTATTTTATTGATGGCGAGCTTTAAAAAACTGTTTCTGCCCTTAGTAGTTAGAAACGTCAAAAAGGCAATTGAGGCTCTATTAGTGGAAACATTGGCAAATTTGTTATAGTTTTGGCTAATTTTCGGGATGTTTTCCATTCGACTTTTTCGATCGATTGAAGTCCTCTTCATCAGACAGTTTCACTCTAAGAAATCATGATTCGGAAATCAGAGGTAAATCTGTATACACTTTTTAATAGAGCAATTGAGGCCCTGTTAGCAAAAAATAGAAAATTATCGGCAATTTTTTATCCAACAATGTTCTATCCAAAGATACCAAAACGAATTCTGTGGCTCCAATGGTTCTTCAGAAACGTCAAAAAAGGTGGCAGCTCAAAAAAAAACACGCAAATCTCAGACTTCCTGAAACCAATACTTTTTTGAGAAAACTGCCAACATTTCCTTTTCGATAGTTCACTTTCTAAAAAGGCCATTTAGTTATCTCTGTAATGAAGTAAAAATCAGACGTTTGTCTGAATTTGTTCCTGAGAAATGAGCAGAAATGGGACCAAAAACATGAAATGTTGGCCTAATCTTGCACCTAAAGGTCTGATATGCAAATTTCGCCTCCACCGGAATTTCCTCACGCACGTTATAATAACTTAATCGAGTTGTGTGTTTCAATAAAATTAAGCCAAAACCTTGAACAATTGTTCTTTTCTTACAGGCATTGCTTCGAGGTGCCATCAGTCAGCAAAGTGCAGTGATTCTGATATGCATGGCAATGGATCGCTACTATTGCATGCTGCATCCTGTTGAATACCACAAACACTCCAGCCGAAAGGTAAGTGGCAATTTTACTGCCAAATCAAAAATAAACGTGCAATGGCAAAATGGCAATTTCAACTGCAAATACCTAAATGAGAAATTCATAAGATTCCCGTTGGGGAATCCTGGGTGTTTTTCAAGTTTACGTAGTCAGGCAGGGGAAAATAAATAATTCAGATGACCGAGTTGCTTCCATTTCCCGCTGAAAAAGACATTGTCCTGAAACTTTCGAGCTTTTTGTACTTAAAAATCGTTCTGTAGGAAGATGATAAATCGTTGGCAGACTACTTGTTTCAGGGAACTCTGGCTTCTTATATTTTAAGCCGGTAAAGGCGCATAATTTCGTTTTTCCTCTGCGACTGGAAACGTCGTTGTTTGCTAGGCGAAATAATCCATTATTAACGTTCTGAGCGCGAAAAAATCCGATTACTGCGATCTGCGCTTGAATGCTCAGAACAGTGTCGTAAAACTAAGACGTTTCACTCCATTTTACGACGATAATAAATTCAGATTTCCACCAGCCTTAACTGATTAAACCGTGCCGGAAAATTCATTAAAGACCAATAAAACAACACCGATTAATTTGCGCATCGCGCCCCGGACGTAAGGCCTTATTTATGGAAAGCTCAACTGAGACTTCGATGTGACAAATTGCTGACTGATCCAGAGTGAGAAATGGATGGTGCACGTGCAATTGAATTTTTGCCACTCAACAGTCCATTAAGTCTAGTTGGTTCGTTTAGCGAGCACATGTAGATTTTTTGTTGAATTTCCCAAATTGGCCGCCATCTCTTCCGAAGGAAAATCGAGTTGTCACGTCAATATATAAATAGCTCAGATTCTTCGCAAAAAGCGCGAGATAAATGATAAATCTCCTTGATATCAGAACACATTATTCCTCCTAGTTCATTAATCTTCTAACTGCTTTTTCCTTGCTAGTCGCCCAACAGATAATGAAGCAAGGGCTGTTCTATTTTCGATTTTCAGACGCAGTTTGATGGCTGAAATGAAAAGAGACTGAACTCAAGTAACATCGTCTTTCAAGCCCTTTCAGATCACGCGCTATTGCTGGCGCTTGGACAGGAATCACGCGCGACTAATTCCTGCAATGAAAATTTCCCGCTCTATTATTTTTTCATGTAAATTTTTGAACAATTGCTCATTTTTGCAAATTTTTTCATGCGTTTTTAAGCGGAAATGTGCATCTTGGAAAATTGCCTTTTAGCATTGCTGATTTTTTTTAAATTCCACAAACTTTAATTGTAACCCAATTTTAATGAAACTTTTCACAATGATACCACAAGTTATTCGAAATGCCTGTGAGAAATTTGGGATTCTGTTTTCCATTCGGTTTGAAACATACGATTTTTTCAGTGAAGATATACAACTGCAAATGGTAACTTTTTAACAGCGGCCGTAGTTGAAAAATTCTCCACGCCGAACCAGCCTTTAGATTTGGGTGAAACTTCAGCAACGTATACTGCAATATTTGGTAAATGCTTGATAACATTTCCAGGCTTTGTCTTCGCTTGGTTTGAAAGTTAGGATTTGTTTTCTGGCCGAGACCCAAAATTGAAACTAAAAACTTTTAAAGAGGCATTTTTTTAACATTTACCCGACTGGCCTGGTCATCAAATTTGAGTAAAAGTTTAGGCATTTATGAAGCAATATTTTTCAAATCAATGTGAACAGTTTAATTTTCGATTTCCTTCTGGTTCCAAATTAAATTATTTTGTTTCAAGCCGACGCGCACAATTGCAAAAATCACTTTTTAACCGCGGCCATTTAGTGAGACTGTAGTTGCTTACAAAGCCGCATTTTTTAAATAATCCTGAAAAGTGTCAGATTGTTTCACATACGTTTCTGTTTGAACTTAGGAATTTTTTAGGAGACGAAGGGCAATTGCAACTAGTAACTTTTTAAAACCGAATATTTTTCAATCGCTCTCCACACTGAATAAATCCTTGGATGTGAGTTAAACTTTAGGCACCTACAAAGTGATTATTTCTAAATAGCGGTGAAAAGTTTCATGTTCCATTTCCTTTTCGTTTTAAAGTTCTGATTGTTTGGCGGAATCTCAGAATTGAAAATAATCAGTTTTTAACCTAAAATTTCCCAAATTGAATCGGTAATCAGATTTGAGTGAAACTCAGGGCTCTTAGAAAACAACATTTCTTAAATGGCGAGCAAAAGTTTCGGATTTTACTCTCGTTTGGTTTCAAAGTTGCCCACTTTTTAGGAGGAAACGTACAATTGCAAATAATCACTTTTTAACCGCGGTCATTTTTTGAAAGCTTTAAAACATTGACTCAATTTTCGGATTTCAGTTAAACTTTGGATGGTTACCACGTAACAGTTTTCAAATGTCTCACAAAAGTTTTAGATTTTCCTTTCTTGTGATTACAAAGTTACAAATGTTTTTAATCGGAAACGCACAATTGCAACTAATCACTTTTTAACAGCAGCCATTTATGAAAAATTTTACAAACCGAATCGGTAATCGGGTTTAAGTGAAACTTAGGTCTCTCAGAAAGCAAAGTTTTTCAGATGACCGGTAAAAGTTTAAGATTTTACTCTCCTTTGGTTTCAAAGTTGCGATTTTTTTAGTCGGAAACGTAGTATTGCAAACAATCACTTTTAAACCGCGGTCATTTTTTGAAAACTTAAAAAAATTGACTCAGTTGTCAGATTTTAGTGCAACTTTGGGTGCTCACCACTTAACAGTTTTAAAATGTCTCACAAAAGTTTCAGATATGCCCTTATTGTGTTTGAGAAGTTGCTAATGGTTTTAGGCAGAAAATCACTTTTAAATAGCAGCCATTTTTGAACAATTTTACAAACTAAATCGGTAACCGGATTTGAGTGAAACTCAGGGCTATGAGAAAGCAAGGATTTTCAAATGGCCGGCAGAAGTTTCGGATTTTACTCTAGTTTGGTTTCAAAGTTGAGAATTTTTTTAGACGGAAACATACAAGTGCATTTAATCCGTTTTAAACAGCAGCAATTTTTGAATTTTTTTTTGCTTTGAACTAATCATTGGACTTCAGTCACACCATACCCATTTAGGCAATGAATGTTTGCAAATACATGTGGAAAGTTTCTTATTCCGATTCAAAGTTGCAATTTTTTTGAGCGTGGAGCGCGTAATTGGAACTAATCACTTTTTAGCATTTAGCAAAATTACACACTAAATCGGTAATCGGATTTCATTGAAACTTAGGGTTTTTAGACAGGAATGTTTTTCAAATAGCCCGCAAAAGTTTCAGATTATACGCCCTTTTGGCTTTAAAGTTACGAATTTATTTTTGACTAAATGCACAGTTGCATCTATAACCTTTTCAAAAAGGGCTATTTTGGAAAATTGTCCCGCACTGACTTGATTACGGGATTTTGGTGAAACTTTGAGCACTTACTAGACAACGTGTTGCGAATGAACCAGACAAGTTTCGCATTCCACTTTCTTTGAGTTTTAAAGTTACGGATTTTTCTAGCGGAAAATAATCACTTTCTAAAAGCGGCTATGTTCCAAAATTCTCGTCGCTGAATCAACGTTCGCATTTGAGTGAAACTTTAAACACTTGGACAGTGATGCTTACCAAAATGGTTGCGAAAAGTTTGATGTCTGATTTCCTTTCCGTTTCAAAGTTACCAATTTTCTTCGGCAAAAACGCATAATGGTTAAAAATCACGTTCTAACGGCGGTCTTTTTTGAAAAATTCTCGACGCTAAACTAACCGTAGGGTTTGAGGAAAACTTTATCAGCTTAGCACGCAATGTTTTGCTAATTCTTGCGAAAAATTTGAGCCTTCTACGTTTCTAGTTGTAAAAGTTACGATTTTTTACGCGATGACACATTAATGCAAGTAAATAAAAATCCCTTTGCTACATAATTCTTTAGGTGCAACTTCGGAATCAGCGCAATGTTCTCCAGCGGCAAACGTCTCCCAGAGATCTTTCCTTGGCCTGGAAAAGGACAAAAAAAAACATATTTATTGGCTATCTTGCCAGGGCACAGAGCCGTTAATCCCCACAGGCAAGTTATGTGGGGACAAGGATTTATAACGGCTTTATCGTGGCTTTTTAAACCATTGATAATTAATGACGACGAAACTTGCGAAATCAACTAAAAACTTGCGCTATTAATTTCGGAGACGCACTGCACACCAATCGAGTTTAGGCAGTTTAATTAAACGATTGTTGCATAATTGTGTGGGCAATGGATTAATGAAATTTATCGCGTTTGCTTTGAATAATTCCATAATCCGCCACCTTGTGTGGGAGTGAATTATGGACAAAATGCGGCTGATAGTTGGAGTTCCTCCAAGTCTATCCGGGCAGGTTTTTCTTAGTGATTATCCAGATGCAATTATCCGGTGTATGCCGCAGGATGCACAATTAAACATCATAAATCACTGCTTATTTTAAGCCATTAACCTATGATTCTATGTAAGCCATATTAATGACGCGGATGATTAATCGATAGGCGCATTTAGCCAACTAAGGAAACACACTTTTTCGGCTCGATTTTGCCGCGATTAATCACATCTGCGTTAAACAAAAGACCAAAGTTGCACAATCCTGCAACTTCCTAGAAATAAATCGAGTTCTCAATGCGATCATTTTGCCCTTTTGTAATCGCGCTAGTAAATCCGTAGCCACCGGTCAATGGAAGATAAATGCCAAAGATGTGACTCTTTGTCGGAGGATTATTTTAATATCCAGTCCCAGTTTCTTTCGGGGGGCCATTGAGGAGGAATAATCGGGCCCATTTCCCAGCCAAATGCTTGATTGACCTCAGCCAAATTTTCTCTTCAGCTAATCCAGGCAATGTGCATGAATTATCCAAAATACTTCCGCCTAATTATGCAGTCGAACCCAATTGAAGCCTCTAATCCCATTTGGAAAACATTTGCTACATGCAGGTATAATGAGGTTCGCAGCATCCGATCATTAATGCATGTATTTAGATGGAATCCACAGCGACTCTATCAAGGATCCGTTCAAATCATAAAAGCT